TATATATATATTAAGTATTAAATATTAGTTTTTGACTTGAAATGTTAAGTTTCTTTCTGTCTTCGTTTCTGTCTGTCATCACTCTTTCTTTAGTTAGTGCCGAGGTGGATCGAGTAGCTAAAGTATGGACTAATGATTGAGTTGGACAGAAGAAATAAATAAAATTTAACATAAACTTCATATATTTATTATTGTATATTTAGTGTACTTATTAATTTTTGTTAATTTTTATATTTCTGTTCTAAAATGGATGCTTGAAATTGACTGTTGTATTATTGACATATATGTATGCGCGTTATTGTTTGGTATATGATCCATGATTGATCATCTTTTTATGTCTCATTAGTCGCTATTTGCACGTTTCGTATATTTTATAAAATTGTATATACGTTTTATACATTTCATGAAACTACAATAAAAAATTATTTAAGAGCGATGTATTAATTGAACATACTGTTTGTACGTTTATTCACATTACATCTAACATTCTTTTATATTTTATGCACTTTTTTTTATTAATTTGTAAATAATATTTTCATCTTATTCTATTGTTTGTTTAATTTGCATATTGTATGCTATTACTAACATTATTAATTTTTTATATAAGTTTTATGTAAGTTTTTTAATTTTTAATGTTTACATTTCATAATTTTTTCAGAATTTCACCAACAATTGCCAACCAATCATTGGCTGCGTTCAGCAGAGAAAATTATTATTTGTTCTCTTATTGCGTTTATATTTTGTAACTCTGACTATCATTGCAAATAAAAAAAGGTTAAGTTACAAGTCGAATCTCCTTACGAATCTCCTTATGTTTCCTGAGAAATAAATGTATATCATATTTCATTTCTATTTTATTTTCTGTTTCAAATGTAATGTATATTGTGTAGATCTGTTATTTTTCTAAGCTTCTGAACTTATTGCATCAGTGTACACCAGTTCAGAACTTACAGTGGAAAAAGAACAGACCTTGCAATAAAGTAGAAAAAGAGAAAAGGTTACAACAGAGAGAAGAAGTGAGATGGAATATCAGTGCCTTGATTGGTTACATACCTCGCTCGCGCATGTGCAGTTCATTTTTATCCACGCTGACATCAAAGGTGCCGACAGAGAGTTGCGCTACTGTATATACTGTGCCCTAACGTCTACTGCCTATGCGCAATTATAGTTGTGATGTACAGGTTAGAAAAGGATAAAGATATCACATACGCGGTTGTAAAAAAAAAAAAATGAAGCCAGTGTTTTTCGATGTTTATTTCCTATTCTACAATTAATACATGTTTCTGTCATAATTTCAACGTTTTCTTCGGAATTTTGCTCAATGTCTCGCCAATTTTTTGTTTTTCTGAACCTTTTGTTCATTTTTTTTCCAAGTATGTTTATTCTTTCGCAATAAGTTAAGTTTTTTCATTAATCGGTAATTATTTAGAATACTCCGCCCCACTTAGAATCTTAATAAAAATATACTCATTCGACGCGTTTTTCACTCAGAACGAGAAAATCTTGCAGAAACTGGCGGTCAGCTTCGTGAACTGAATTATTAAGCGTTAAAATTGAAGACTTTAGAGGTTAAGATATATCTGTCATCCCCGACTCAATATAGCGCTATGTATACGTTCTATTTTAATTACACAAATTCACTGCTTTAAAAACAGATATCTTAATCTCTAAAATCTCCAACTTTAACGCTTAATAACTCGATTCACAAGGACGATCGCCGCGTTTTTTTTTTTTTTGCCAGATTCTTTCGTTTTGAGTGAAAACGCGTCAAATGAGTATATTTTTATTAAGATTTTAGGTGAGGTAGGTTATTCTAAATAATTACCGCAGCCAGTTATATGAGAGTAAGAGAAAAAAAGAAGTAATTCAAATATGTCAGTTTCCAGTAAAGAGAGAAAAAATTTAAGAAATAGTTTTACTTTGATTTCGCAGCCCCCACATCCCATTAAATGGGTTATATAGAATAGAATTTATTTCACTTCAGTGTACAATTTAGCCGAGAAGGGAATTTACAATTTCTATCTATCCTTGACACACTTGTCCATCCATACCTCGTTCTTTGGATTTTGCATGCCCTAACATCTAATATTTATTATCTCTTATCTATTACTGTTTATTACACTTATCTCCTACTTCCTACATATCTGACTTTATATCATTTAACTACATATTTTTGTCTGCTATTTTTGTCTGCTACTTTTGTCTTTTTTATTCTATCCTATATCCAATTATTTATCTAATCATCTTAAATGGGATATATATGTTTAAAGTGATAAACTCTTCATTTGCAGTGAGTCGCTGTGTAATATCACAGGCAAATCAGGAAGATTTACTTCGCTCGTTCAAGAGCTATTCCGACGTGACAATGTTTCACTTTACAGTACCGAAAGAGGTGCCTCGAGCTACATGGCAATTCGCTGCTTTTATGGATGATCCTACATGCCATACACGAAAAGTTTATATGTAATATTTTTCTGAATTTTATCTTAAATAAACTTAAATTTATATACAAGATGTCCTACACCTAACGTAATCACCCTTTGTATGTTTTTATAAAATAAAATTGAATCAAAAATATATTCAGACACAAGTTATACAGCTTATAAGTACAAAGTCAGTTTTAAAAAACTCCTTTTTCTAATCATACGCGAAGATGTAGCCATTTTTTTAAATGTAATTATATAATTTTTTTACATAATAGTGTTCTAATTATTGTGCATGTAGAAGTGTTAAGGTAGAGATGAGAGCAAAGAAGCAATAGTTTACGATACATTTTATTTATATGCTTTATTCTAACACATTTTGACATGTAAAATATTAAATATATCGTAAACTATTCAGTTTTTATTAAATGTACCTTAATATCTTTTATACACAGAATAATGAAATGAATCAATTGTCAAAAAATTAGTAATTGATGACATATTTTACATTTCATATCGAAATGTACCAGAGAATAAAGTATAAAATCTCATAAACTGTATGGAGTTTTTAATATCTCTACCTTAATACTTTTATATGCAGACTCATTAGACGAATATACTATGTAAAAAAATCCATACAATTCCAATTTTTTAAATGGTCATAATCTTCATGTAACTATGACAAATGAATTTTTTTTTTAATTGCTTCTATTAGTGTCCCTTTTGTACAATTATATTTATTTTTCATTTGACCTGGGCTGCGTTCGGAAACATCACCCGAGTGCCCTCGTGTATCATCTTATCTTTATTTAACATTGGATGAACAACAAGGATAAAATAATACACGGGAGCACTCAGGTGACGTTTCCGAACGCAGCCCTGTAAAGATAAAAGGAAAAGTCACGTTAGCCCTGAAGTTTAAGAGTTAACACTCAACTTTGAGTGTTTTTTTTTTAAATTTTCAGTTTTTTTCCATAAGAGAGGTGAGATATCCTTTGTAAAAATTATTTATTCAACAAGTGCTTTTAGAGTAGTACACAATTCTACAATATATAATAACTAATTAACCGAATCTTTCTAATAAAAAAAATTATAAGAACAGTTGGATAGATAATTGTAAGTTATTAATTAATTAATTTAAAGCCGTTTGTATTACCAACTGAAACTGGAGTTTATGCCGAAAATGACAAAAAGTTTCGAAATTAAAATCTTAAGAAAAATTTTTTGTCGTTCTCGGTATAAACTCCACCTCACAGACACGTATTAATGTGTACCTATACTTTAATCCTGGAAAAAGATTTTCGGAACTGTAAAAGAGGAAAATAGTAATTGTTATACAAAAATTATGATTTAGTCGGTAATATAGACGGCGATCTTTTTACAGATACCTGAAGTTTGGTAGTTATCCAGTAATCACTGCAAATAACGGAATATTTGTATCAACAAATAGGTCTACCAAATATGATTACGATATCGTAGTCACTACTACCACAACTTATCAGCCGAAAAATGTAACTGTTGTTCCAGTATATGAGCCGCAACCTGGAGATTGGTTCGTAGCAGCTTATATGTCTTATTGGGATGAGAAAGTTCAACAGCAGGTATATCAATCTGTTATTTTAGTTGTATGAATATAATTATTACCACTTCGTTATTATAAGTATTTTAATACGAAAAGCATACACAATCTACTTTATTTTTCATAAAACTTTTTTTTTAGGGGCTAGGACACAAATGCCAATATAGCATAGGTGCAATAGCTCTATGGTCGCAAATAGATAATATTGTAAATGTTCCTGTTAATTATCAAACGAGATTGCGAACAAGCGCAACGACAACATATTACAAGTAATAATTAAAATTGTTATTCCATTATTTATTACAAGATTTAATATTTATAAAATTTTTTTTCTCAGTAGACCAAGAAAAAATATATAATATACGTGTATTATATTGTCATACATATGTGTATATACCACCTTGATCAAAAAGTTCCCGGAATTACCACCAGGTGATGCTCTGAGTCAGCTGATTTGAGTTCTATTTTTTTGGTTAGGTTGCCACATCTATCATTGACATTTCCACCAAATTTTATTGCCATAGCTTGACATTTGTAAAAGTTACGCCGTCTTGAGTACCTCTACCTCTGCACGGTTTTCGATTTTTTAGTTTTAAAAATGGAGTTGAATTTGCAACATCCGTAAATTTTTGACCAAGAACGAAACGAATATCATCCAACAGCCATCGAAATCACCCGATATGGTTCCCTGCGATTTTTTTCTGTTCGATCGAGTCAAAAAACCACGGATGTTGCAAATTCAACTTCATTTTTAAAACTATAAAAAATCGAAAACCGTGCAGAGGTAGATGTACTCAAGACGGCGTAACTTTTACAAATGTCAAGCTATGGCGATAAAATTTGGTGGAAATGTCAATGATAGATGTGGCAACCTAACCAAAAAAACAGAACTCAAATTAGCTGACTCAGAGCATCACCTGGTGGTAATTCGGGGAACTTTTTGATCAAGGTGGTGTATATATATATATATGTTGTTTGAATTACATTTTATAATTTACAAGTGCAGGATAATTTAAAAATGTTATACAGCTCTATAACTTAAAGAAGACGAATAGATAAAAGTTATATTATACAAAGAACGTGTATGTTTTCCATAAAGGAACACAATGAATTACATTATATTCTTGTTTTTGTCAACATTAAACAAGAATAAAATGATTATTTGTGTTATGCTGTATTATATTGCAATCTGTGTCTCTAACTAAGAAAACACCGTGATTCGTGAATATGCTGCACTATTTTTCATATCACTTTTCATTAATTTACATTATAGCAAGACATTCACATCGGTTATAATATTTATTCAGGATATATGTTCCGTCAGGATTATTGAGCTTCCGTTTATCGGTCTGGAACTGCAGCTTTACGTTGCATAATTTTCGTGATATTAATAAACCTTGTATCGAGGCTATGTACCTGAAAGGACGTGTTTTGCCAACATCCAGTCATTTTCATTCCACTGAATCTAAAACACTTACCACAAACGCTAGTTACTCTTTCATAGAACCTTCTCCTTATGAAGATAGTTATTATTATTTATCAATTGTTTCGAGTAGCATTATAGAATTCGACATCAAGGTTGATACAACAGGTAATTTAACTTTGATACATTTTATTCTCTCAGTGTGCGTGCGCGCGCGCGTGTGTACACATATACACACGCCCGCATAACACAGTTCTCCGAGGGATGTTTTTAGACTTCCTCTGGAGAATTGTGTTGTGACTCTGGCGAGAAAAAAGTTTTTACGAAAAAGTACAGAAAAACTACATATATTCAGACAGAATCTTAGGAATTCTTAATTTTTCGCAGATATTCGTAATGGGACGTAGAGTGAGGTTCATTTGCTTAGAGATTCTTAGTTTTCCATAGGTATTTGTAGTGAGACGTAGAGTGGCGTTGTTTGAGGGCGGAGTATTTTTAGGTTTTCTCAAAGAAACAACGTCGTTCTACGTCCCACAGTGAATATCTAATAATTTCTACGACCTTGTCACAATCTATGTAGTTCTTCGTAAAACTTTTCAGTTAGGAGAATATATAGGTATATATTTTATATATACAGAGTGTATATAAAGTCTCCGACCCCTTAAATATCTTGAAAAGTAATCACATTTTTGAGAAAAATGTTTTATACAAAAGTTATAGGGTTGAAAATGATCTATTGACTGACCTTATCAATTTGACCTTGGATGGCGCCACCAAGGTCAAGTTAAGGTCAAATCGATTTTTTTAAACGAAACACCCTATTTTTTATTTTAGAATCTAATAGCTGAGGTCAGGAGCTTTTCAAAATACTATAATAAAGCCTCTTTTTAATCAGTACTTTTCAAGTTATGAGAGTTGAAAGTTACGGAACCGCCGGCATAGGTATTAGCATTACCCTAAGCTAAGGTGTTCGTATCCCTTTTAATAATGCGAGGATGGGGTGGTTATAAGAGGTCTTACGCAAACGACAAGACTTCAATCAATCTTTTAGAAATAAAGACAATAGTATATCTAAATCAACTGTCATTCGTTTGAGCATTTGTTATTCCTTTAACCCAGCTCGCCTTACCTATCAGTTTTTAGTTACTTTCTCGGCTGGACTCCACCGGGATCTGAAACTTCGTCAAGTTATATCTCGGAATAGAAAACATATTTTTAACTTATCACATGCAAAATTGATATCTCTAGAGTAAGACAAGAACATATAAACAAAGATGATACAAAAAATATTTTATTCTTAAATTACATCATAAAAAGTTGAAGTCTGAATTGCAATGTGAAAAATCTCATTAGATACGTCATATCCCAGTATGGCGAGCTAGGGTTAAAAGAATATTACATATTATAGCAAATACTCAAATTAGCGTCCCTCCGCAGTCTGACAATGTGCTAGACGATTATAAAAACTTAAGACTGCATTTCTACAGAATTCGCGAGGCATTCTAAATTCATTTATTATTCGTTGACGTAAATCATTAAGATTTCGAGGTTCAGTATTATAAATTTTTCCCTTTAAATATCCCCACAAGAAATAGTAGAGTGGATTGAGATCAGGCGATCGTGCTGATCATTCAATGTAACCCCTTCTTCTATCCACCTATTCGGAGAAACTTCATTCAGATATTGGCGTACTCGAAAACCGTAGTGAGGTGGTGCCCATCTTGCTGGAACCAAATGTCATTGAAGTTTTGACGAGCGATGTTTCGGATTGCCGGAACTATTTCATCTTGAAGCATGGCTAAGTAATTGTCAGCGTTTAAATTACATTCAATAAAGAAAAGCCCAATAATGGCTTCATTTAAAATTCCAGTACATACGTTGACTTTTTGCTGATTCTGAGTATGTACCTCGTACATCCAATGAGGATTTTCATCGCTCCAATATCTGCAATTATGTCGATTTATATTCCCGGTTAGCTTAAAAGTAGCTTCATCTGAAAAAATAATGGTGACTACAAATAAAAGATTTCTATCGATATTTATCATCATACTTTCGCAAAATTCAATGCGACGATCAAAATCATCTTCGCATAGTTCCTGCGCCAGATGGATCTTATTTGGATAAAATTTTTCGTTTTTTAGAATTTTATGAACTGACAGGTAGGATCGATGTCGTGTTGTTGTCCAACTTTGCGAATTGAATTACGCGGATCT